CCCCCCTTCCCCGCTCGACGGCTCGATTCGATGAGGAAGGACAGAGGGCAGGAGAGGGAGGGGGGTCGTACCAACTCCCAAAAGGAGAGGGAGGGTCGTACTGGCTCGACAAAAATCTCCAACTAATGATGTGCCCTGTTGCCTAGCGCGCACCGCGGAAATTGATACTGCTAGTTGTTTTGATCTAAACATTCTAATTCAGGCCGCCTCCTATACCACCGTAACGGCAAAGCAATTTACACTTGGTTTTGGCACCATCGTCTTCGCTTATGGTGGTCATCCCGTATTTCCCACTATTCAGCATGATATGGTCAAACCAAGGCATTTTAGCAAAGCAGTTATCCTAAGCTATATTGGTAAGTCATTAGCAGTCGTTGCTTTTTGATCTTACGATAACTGGTAAACTGAAGCTTACAGCTGATGAAGCCGCAATCACTCGGGACGCTTTCAAGAGGGGTGGGCTAACTCTCCTGCGGCTTTACCGTCACTGGTTATTTTCTCCCTGAATCGATAGCTAAACGATTGTCATTGGTAGAGCAAGACACTTGGAGATGGTCTCATTCCGCCCCTCCTACCACCGTCCCGACTGATTGCAATGTTATCAGCTATATCTCACAGGGTGGATTAGATGAAATTATGACCATGAACGTTGTACAGCACTAAACACTCTCAATGTCCACGAGCAGCAGCAATGATTTCTGTACTTTCAGTGTTATTTCTCCTCTATAGCCCTGTTGCCCTAACTGGTTACGCTGTATACGGGACTTCCGTATCCGACTCAATCATCTCGTCTATTCAGGTGAGCGTCTTAGCGAAGCTAGTCAGATACAGTGTGACGAAAGTGGAAATACTAACAATTACAGAGGTAGCATGTAAGGGTGTGAGAAGTGATGCAAACTTGATGGCGGCTATAATTACCGGTTGCAGTAAGATGTTTGCCTAAAGACAGCTCCCGTGCTTTTCAATTACGAAACAGTAGCTGATAAGTAATTCTCCAAAGAAGAGAAAAAGCAAGAAGAGTTCTCAAGAACACCATAAACAAGATCGCTCCCTGTCAGTCACACAGCCCTGCGGTCATTGTGCAACCCCTGGCTCACAAATCCCTTTATCACATCTCCCAGTAATGGATATCATCCAATGCAAAAAAGAATACGGAAAACAACAAAAACACGGAAGAAAAACTCTTGAAAAGGAAAATAAACTTTTAAAAACTCGGCGTCCGAATTTAGGGTTACGGTAGCGTGCATCTTTTAGTGTGTTTAGTGCGTCGAGCTTTTGCACCACGAAAATTGGGTCGCTCGTGATTTTTACGCGTTTTACCTTGCGAGATGGGATGAAGTTGACTGTATGTGCTGCTAATGAATAAAATGTAATAAAGGAAAGCAGAATTATTTATGGGCACGAGCGTGGTCAGCGAAAAGGACATGAATGCCGATTAATGCCCGCCGCCCCAACAAAGAACAACTGAGCGGCCCTCCGTCGGAGGGCATCTAGCAAGTGGGCGGTCCAACTGAGCGGGCGTTAGAACTAGAACTTTCAGCGGCTGTAGCTCGCTCCTCGCTCGCTGTGGAGTCGCGGGACAGTCTCTAGCTTGGGGGCTGTACTACTTGCACAAGGAAGGACGACCATGTACTACTTGAGCGCGGGGGCTGTCTTTAACTCCATTCTACTATTCTCTTCCTTTATAGTCATGATCCCAAGGGCAGGGCGCGTAATGGTGTGAACTGGAGCGCAGCTAGGGCAGCTGTTCCCGCCAAATTTCAACTGACTCAGGATTTCCACATTGGCCGGAGTACGGCCGTACCAACAGGGCTCCATTATGCGCCCCGTCGCTTTCCTTATCATTGGCAGGAATCGCTCCATCGTAGGGGTGGGGGTGGGTTTGGCGTGACGCCGATCTTCTCCACCAATTGTGATCGCCTGCCTGCTTCTACAAGTTGGTGAAGAACGTACTGGCGCCACACTGAACTCTGCCCCTGACATCCGCATGTCAGGAGTAGGGTACTGAAGACAGTGCCTGTGTTCGGTCTAAAGGATAACAGCCCATGATACTGGTCATCGACTTTGAATATACTGACTATTCTTCGAAGAACGTCTTTCTCGATCGATCTTTTTTAAAAGTGTTTTTCAGACTCCTGTCTTACGTCTTCTCATCAGTATTCTTATCACATTACATGTATTATTTTCAATTCTAATTATTATCAATCCACTGCATCAAGGTGTTGAAGAGCATGTCGGCGTTAAGCACGGTGAGTGGGACTACTACTTAACACCTTTCCATTCTCACTGATATGGGAGCAGTTTCGCTGCATAAGTTTTAGCTCCATATAATATATTTGAGGGGTTCGTTGTGAGAGAAGTATATGGTCTTGAAGGAGCTGGAACGCGCACTTTTCTTTTTCAGGGTCCAGTGAGCCTGACACGTTGGTTGCCGGATTTGTGGCAAGGTAATATTAGGTTGTCCGGAAAGTTCTCAGCGTTTTGAGTGTTTCACTTTAAACGATCATAACTTTCTTAATACTCATCGGATTTAATCGAAATAAGCACCGTTCGAATCAGCACACTTTTGCCAATGACACCAGTCGATAAATCCCATCAAAGAAAAAACTGTTTTTTGCCTGGTCCTGATTGATGAAGTATTTTCCAGCAAGGAAGTTCTGAAAATGTTTGAAAAGGTGATAGTCGGTTGGTGAAAGGTCTGGAGAATATGGCGGGTGAGGTAGAACTTCAACCCCCAATTCGTTCAATTTATGGATAGTGATTTGTGAAACGTGTGGGCGGGCGTTGTCATGCAAAAGAATCGGACCCTTTCTGTTGACAAGTGCTGGCTGCAGCTGACGCAATTTTCGGTACACAATTGAATTGTGGGGCACCCACTTGTCGAGTTTTTTCACCTTCCCAATGCGTTTCAGACCATCCGCAACAGTGGATTTGCCAACGCCTAGCTTTTCTGCAATCTCTCGAACTGTTTGGGATGGGTCAGCCTCCACAAACGCCTTCAAATCCTCGTCAGGTATTGCTTTAGGTCGACCGCTATGAGGTTCATCTTCAAGGCTGAAATCTCCAGAACGAAATTTGTTGAGCCATTGCCGCACAGTGCTTTCTCTAGCACTATTGGGCCCCACACCTGGTTAATTTGTTGAGCTGTTTCGATTGCCCCAATTTATAGTCGAAGAAAAAAATCGTCCGAAGTGCTCTTTTCACATGCTTGAAAAAATCTTGAAAAAAGGGGGTTTATCAAGCAATGGTGAAACGGCAATTATACCATCAGATAGCGCAAGAAATTCTCTACAGGATGTGCTACTGAGAGCAAGGGAGAATGAGTTTTTAATCAGCAATGAATGTACAAAAAATAGTAACACAAAACGCTGAGAACTTTCCGGACAACCTAATAGCAATCGCCGAGCTGGGGGCGTTGCGTGCCACGTAGCGCTTGCAAATGACGAGAGAGTTTCAATGCCGTAAATGGCGACAGTGGGCAATGTGTGACCGAAAATAGCCATTAATCTCGACGATGTCAACGTCTACTGAAATTCAACCCTCTAAGCGGCAGACTAACGCAGTTTAAGAAAACGCCGCAGCAGCGCGCGATGGACTACAGATTACGATTGTCTTGCCTTCTCCCTTTCTTGCTGAGACTTCGGCTGACCCTACTCAGTTTGTGATGGTACCCTTGCAACAGCTAGCAGACAGCTGAACAACCCGTCATGGGAACAGGAAAATTTGAATTTCAACAAAATGGGACGAGAAGGTCTGGTAATCTATCCTTGTTGTTCGCAGAACTGAAGTGAGAATGCATTTATATTGCAAGCCCCGTCTTCCGTTCAGATTCCGTATTCCACATTGCATGCGAAATCGCTTTCGCATGCAATCATGATCCCCGCAAGCGATAGGGCGTGACGCGACGCGGACTGGAGCACTGCCAGGGCGCCCTCTTTCGCCAATGATACTATCCCGAGGCCACTACCATTGGTGAACTCTGTCCTGGCTGCAATCCATTCTACGCCCCACGCGAGCTAACGTGTCTAGGGATCATGACGCGGTACAAACTCCTTCCATGAAATAGTTCTCCACACTAATCAACAGGAGGAAGCCAGTTATCCCCATGTTCTATTTTACTTACAGTGGCAAGTCCAAATTCGGCACTCTTTACCCATTACAGGTACTCTTCGGAAGTCAGGAGGCGAGCGCCAAGGAGTATTTGCGCCGTTCTGTTGTAATAGTCATTCTCTCATTCTCGCCGTTCTGATGAAATATGCATTCTCACATAGTCAAACCACCCCCGGTGACAACCTTCTAGCGAAATATAGCCCTGTGACGAATTTCAATGAAAAATCGACATCAGTCTTGAGGAATGGAATCGTCAAGCGCTAGCAGTACCCAAAACTCCCGTCTCCCCTCCGTTCTTATCAACCTCTAATGTTGCCGAACACATTTTATTAATGAAATTTTAGAATTTGGCATTGGACGCTTTCTTGTTCGAACGGCCGTCCTATTTCTCACAACATCCGTTGCATCTCTGCTACCAAATTTCGGGGTTTTCCTTGATCTGGTGAGTTTCGAAGTTATGTGTCTTATTTGCTTTTAAAGACAGCTCCCGCGATAAAAGTGTCATGGATAGTTGCTTTTCAATTATGAAACAGTAGCTGATAAGTAATTCCCCAAAGAAGAAAAAAGTCCTCAAGAACACCATAAACAAAATCGCTCCCTGACAGTCACACCTCCCTGCGGTCTCTGTGCAACCCCTGGCTCACAAATCCCTTTATCACATCTCCCAGTAGTGGATATCATCCAATGCAAAGAAAAGAATACGAAAAACAACAAAAACACGGAAGAAAAACTCTTGAAAAGGAAAAGAAACTTTCTAAAAGTCGTGTCCGAATTTAGGATACGGTAGCGTGCCT